TTTAATTCTTTAGAGACACTGATGTTGAAATGAAACAGCACATGACCCTAGTGGAATTAAGCCAAATCTTCTCTTTAATCTGCAGTTTACTTTTTCTCCTTGAATTGGCCAGCATTGCCTGAATTGACTGTAGAAGCCTTTTGTATTTGGACAAAGATTTTGTCTGCATCCAAGACACTTCTGATTTAATTAGGAAAAAAATCTGCAACTACTCCTCAATTCTTTTCATGTCTCCAGTATGCCTGTTATAACAGATTAAAGTTAATAATGGTTCAATCCTGGGCAAAATTCTCCTCAAAGATACAGCTCTTCTGCATCTCTTTTTGTCTTTTGAACAGTGTGAGGGGCTATTCTTTCTTGCAACATGTTTAAAATTACAGGGTGTGCCTTTCACCCTGCTCCTGCAAAATCTTGACTTTAACAGAAATTATCCCTATGAAAATCTTAATGAAACCCAGAATTTTTAAAATGAAAAATAAAATGTGGAGCCAAAAATTAACATGTTATGCAGAAAATTATGCAAAAGAATAAAAATTGCAATAATCTGCAGATACTAGAAAAGACTGGAGACTTAAAACAGGCAGATATAATTTTTGTACCAGCAGCAAGCACTCATAAACTCTCTGAGAAATAAACCATATATGGATACTGGCCTTCTGAATCTGAGAGTAGCATGTTAAATAGGGAAAAATTTTAAAATTCCCATGGAAAAAGAAGGGAAAAATATTTGGAGAGTTGTTACCTTGTTTCAGTGTTTACCAGGAAAATCTGGTAAACCAAGGTTTAGCAAAGCATTAAGGTCATGAGAAGAAATAACTGATTATTAAGGGGATGGTCAAGTAATCAGCATAGAAAGGAAAGGATTCATCTATTTTGTCTAAGGAGGTGCTTGTGTTAGAAATTAAAAAAAAGAACAAAAAACAAAAAACTAAACCAGATACTTATTTTACACAGGGGATCTGAGCAAATAAATGGAAGAACCTGACTGACCAGGAATGCAGTAGCATTGATAGCAAAACCATTATGGGATAACAAGTATTGAAGGTACACACTTGCCAGGAAAGAACAAAACAGAGATAGATGTGGTATGTAGCAGACGTGAGAGACTTTGACAAAAATGTTGTTGATTCTTTCTTCATCAGCTGTTTGGATGAATTAATCTTGAGGATGGAATGGAAAACAAAGTTTAGTCACAACAGTACTGGGAAATAATATTGAATGTACATTGAACAATATGACTCTTAAATATTAGGACAAAAATACTTATATGGTAATAAAAAATACTTTACTTTTCTATATGTAGTTATATGTCTATCTCTTCTCTAGGTCTTTTAATTCCTACTATAGGCAGTTACAGGTCTTATTAATACAGTGAACTGAGTGAAGGAGTTTGTATCTAGATTTATTTGGTTGGCATCTTCAGTGGAATAATTGCGTAAGCAAAGAGTCTTGAAGATGTTTCAGTGCGAAGTAGCCTTTACTGCTCCAGGGGGATGTGTCTTGTGTAACCCATGTGTCATATCTGCCACACGTGAATGTCTTGGACTCTCTAGAAGAACTCAGATGGAACTGAGCTGAGCTCTTTAGCTGCTTAGCTGAATGAATACTGCACATCATTGGTTGTCTTCACTCTGCCTCTTCATAGATGTTCAGTTCACATTTGCACACTCAAGTGCAGATACCTTCACCTCAGACTGAATCTATCCAGTCAAATATACATATAAATATAATATTTGGATGGATGAATTTTAATATAATATTATTAGACTAACAGAAATTGTATTGTATGTTAGACTTGTAAATAAAGACTAAAAACCAAGTGCTAATACTGATGAGGCACAAAACTCAATGGGTAATTAACACATTTTATCAGAAAATAATAGATAAAAGGGACACAATGCTATGTTAGATTTTTAAGATCTACAAGAACATTGCAGAAAACCCAGTCAAAAAACGTGTCAGATCAAATGATCATGAATTCATGCACTTTAAACTAAACATGTATATATTGCCTAAGTTTTAAGTAAAGGCAGAAACAATAAAATGCAGGAAAGGAAAAAATAGCTAATGTCAGCAAGTGCTTGGAAGGAGAAATGACAACAAAAAAATTCTAAGGAAAACTGAAAGAGCTGGATATGCATAAAATGAGGGAGATGGGTAATCCGTATTTCAGGATTCTGAAAGAACTGGCCTGTCACATCACTGATATGATAGCAAGTGGTTCTAATAAACGTGCACATTGTGTGCACTGGAGAAAAGCTTTTTTTTTTCAGTTTAAAGAGAGGAATAATTGTTACAAAATGAAATTGAAATATGGATTTATTAAAAGGGGCTCATGGTGGGCAAACTGTTGACATTCTGTGATAAAACAATACATTTGTTGTCTCAATAAATACAGTAATCTTGTTCACTGTGACCTCTGATAATGATATTATGTCACTTGGGAAGTGACTGATTAATTTGGAGAAAATGAAAATGAATAGATTTGTTAGAGGAGTAAAGAGCTGGCAAATGGAACATGATAGCAGTGATTAGTGGAGGAGTCTGCTGGGAGAGTACAAGCAGAGGTCTTCCAGGACTAGGTTTAAGATGAACCTTAATATTTAATGCATGACCTTGATACACACAGCAGAATTAGATTGTGATATCTCTCTCCTGAAACCAATTATATAATATAATTGGGATCTGGATGTGGTTTAGAAAAAGAAAGACAGTGAAGACTAGATTATTAAAAATGTGAGTAAAATTTAATAGTGTAGACCAAAGGATTTAGAAATGAGTAAAGAAATTATGTTATGAATTGAGAAAGATACAGCTGCAGAGGAATATCTGGGTATTCTAGCTGATGCCTTGTTGACTGTGAGCCATTTTGTGCAGCTGTGCAAAAGGAAAATGCAATCCTAAAACTTGTATAGGTAAAGAATTATCACTGATCAAGGCAGTGGGATGGCTTTTGGAGTACTGCATACTGTAGGCCAGTTCTGTTCTCTAGCCATAAGAAGGTTGAGCTCCAGCCTGGTGTACAAAGGGATTACTAGGATGATAAGATGAAAGGACTGCCTGGCGTGTGAAAGATAATTTCTGCAAGTTCAGCTTAATCATCCTAGTAAAATGAATGTGGAAAAAAAATGCTCATGTCTTCAGTCTATTCATGCTGGGGACGAACAGCAGGGAGGAGGAAGAACAGTTATTTAAAACATGTTTAAGTACAAGAACAAACAGGTGTAAACTCACCTTGAATAATAATAGAATAACGGAGTAGTTTCAGTTGGAAGGGACCTTAAAGACCATTTAGTTCCAACACCCCTGCCATGGACAGGGACATCTTACACTAGATAGTCTTGCTCAGAGTCCCATCTGACCCTGGAGACCACCAGGGTTGAGGCATACACAACTTCTCTGAGCAACCTGTACCTGTGCCTCACCACCCTCACAGTAAAAAATTTCTTCCTAGTTTCTAATCTAAACATGTTCTTGCAGTTTAAAGCCACTACCCCTTGTCCTGTCACTACATACCTTTGTAAGAAAGTCCCTCTCTGGCTCTCTTGTAGGCCCTCTTCAGGTACTGGAAGTTGCTATAAGATCTCCCCAAAGCCTTCTCTTGTCTAGGCTGAGCAATCCCAACTGTCTCAGCCTGTCTTCAGAGCAGAGTTACTCCAGCCCTGGGATTTTTGTGGTCCTTCTTTGGTCCTTCTCTGCTGCAACAAGTCCAGATCCATTTCTTGGGAACCCCAGAGTTGTATGGAGGACTCCAGGTGGGGTCTCAAGAGAGCAGAGCAGAGGAGGGAAATCACTTCCCTCAGCCTGTTTACCACACTTGTGATGCAGTCCAGGAAACTGTTGGCTTTCTGGACTGCAAGCCACATTGCCAGATCATGGCAAGATTTTCATCTACCAACATCCCCAAGTCCTCCTTCTAAAGACCGCTCTCGATCCATTCTCTGGAAAGAAGCCATTCTCCCTAGACTTCCTATTATCACTAACATACCTATAGAAGCTTTTCTTGTTGCCCTTGACATCCCTCAATGAGTTTAATTCTGTCAGGACTGTAGCTTTCCTAAACGGATCCCTGACTGTTCAATCCCTGTATTCCTCCTAGGCTACCAGTCTGTGTTTTCAGACTTCCTCTAGGCTCTCTAGGCTTCCTCTAGGCTTCCTTCATGTGTTTGAATTTGTTAAGAAGCTACTTTTTCATCCACACAGGCCTTCTGGCATGTTTGCCCAAATTCCTCTTTGTTGAAATGCAGTGTTCCTGAATTTGGAGGGCAAAACTCATATAATTATGTCTCTACTGGATGGAGTGGATCAAATTATGAATGGGATTATGAAAAGCAATTCCCTGAGTTAGTAGTAGATGAGGACCTGCTTAGGTCCTCCCAAATGTGGGTGTGTGTTTTAATTCCATTACACAACAAGCAAAGATTTGGCCAGTGCCAGTAACCAAAAATGGACTCTACTGCTGTTACTCATTCCTACTGTAGACAACATAGATGGCTGCACACCTAAGACAGTCTCCCCACTAAGTATTGCTTTCTAGACAAATTGGTATGAGTTACCTTTAATGTCCCATGTGGCTCTTCAACCAGCCCAGCAGCTCTCTCAGCAAGTAGTTTGAAAATGGATGTGCTGGTAAGACGTGAAATCTTCTTCCTACTAAAAAAGAGCCATCAGAGAGAATTTTGGTTAGAACAAAGGAGCAATTCTGACTGGTCACTGCAGCGTGACTTTGCTTAAGATGCCAAGGAGCAGCAGTGTGGAAAACTGTACCTGTGTCATTTTAACACAGTGGAAATGTGTAATGCATAACTGGTAATTGTAGCATGTGGTTAATTGCTTTTGCCTCTGCAGTGTGCCAGCTAGAACCATGAAAACAAAAAATGCACAGGAACCGAAGACAATGACAAACATCATAAAGCTTGAATAATAAGGACTATGGTGATGACATCTTTATAGAGAATAGAAGTAGATGTAAACCACTGTTTTATTTACCATAACCACAGGGTTCCTTAAAGGAGGTTCTTAAACAACTAGAAGAAGAGAAGAAGAGTCTCCAGAATCAGCTAAAGGACTATGAACTTAGGCTGGAACAAGAAGCAAAGGTTTGTAATCACTCTATCCCTCTAGACTGCAAAAGCTGTTATGTTGTGTGGCAAACAGATTGTGTGTGGAACACATAATACAATAGTTCCAAAAAAATGTGTCACTGGAAAAAGGCTCTGCTGTATATCTGAATCTGCTGTATGATTCAGGTTTTAAAATTTGTGCTTAATGATAGCCTATATCTCATTTTAACTGTAGGCTTACCACAAAGTTAGTGATGAGCGGCGCTTGTACCTCTCAGAGATCTTACAGGTAAGAAACATGCGTGACTCAGTAACTTTTAATGCTTTCTTAAAGTAACAACAATGTCTGTAATGCCATTAGATCAGGGTGTTTTATTACTTCATTTGTATACCAAATATCTTACAAAAGCTGATTTTGAAAAATTTTATTGATGCAAATCATGTAATACAAGAAATTTTATACTGCAAACTGGGGAAACCTGTAAAGAAATATGTAAAGATTTATATTACTTCTTATTCAAGAAAAGTTCTAAATTCCTAAATAATGTGAAAGTAATAGCTTAGTGTGATAGTCAAGAATTGCTGCCACTGAGTCACTTTCATAGCTAAGTGGGGTAAAAGCCTGTAATTAGCATGTGTTTGCACAGTGGGCAACTGATTCTCTCACATGGTTCATTGCTACTTTGGGAAATCTAAAAGAATTGCTTAAATGAACTTTCCAGCATGAAACCAAGAAAAAGCCTGGGAAATGCTCATGATAACTGTTAATATTTTTACATTAGCAGTGAAACTGAGAACTTCTGGAGGAAGAAAGGAAATAAAAGCAGATTTTATTACTGAACATGCTAGCAAGAGGAGTGCCTATGTTCAGCTCCCTATAAAAACATTTAAATATGTGTAAGATATCATTTGAAGTGAGGTATATGTTAAAATCCGTGTTCTCTTTTAACAGTTCCCTTTAACAATAGAGGCAGAAGTAGATGTACATTCAATACAGACTTTTTCAACTGTAGTAAAATATCAGTATTCTAGAGTCTGCACAGTAATATTGGCTGCTGTTGAATTAGAAGGATTGACCCATAGGCTAACAATTTCCTTACCTTGCACAGTAAATATACCACAGAGTATTGCTGTCCTGTGACAATAGTGTATCCTAGTGACACACTCTTATTTACAGAGAATAGATATATACAAAGAATAGATATAGTGTTCTTCTAAGCCTTTGTTTTATCGCGTTATGTTTGTATTTTTTTTTATAGCTGACAGTAAGAAAAAAAATATCATAAAATACAAGTTTTTTACTGGTAGGGATTAAAAAATACCAGGAGGAGAAAAACCAGCAAGTTTTTCTGCTGTGTTTTGGATCCCTCCTGAAGCCTGCGGCAGAAGCAGAAGACAAAGATGTTTCTGAGAGGCCATTTCTTTAATTTACCTTTTTATTACTGAGTGCTTTTCTGGGTTTTTCTTTATTTATTTACAAAATATATTTATCTTCTGAGTCCTTTTGATGTTTGTCTTATCTGATCCATAAGGATGCAGTCAGTTTTAAATGATAGTTTTAAAATAAATGAAAAATTCAACAATCTTGAGAGCTCATGCTAGAGGCACCAATGGATTCTGGTGTATTCTTGTTTGCTTTTTTTTTTTTTTTTTTTGTTTTCAGTCTGGCAAAGCATTGGTTTAGGATTTGGAGTCCACGAATCTTAAAGACACTCTCTGGTGGTGTTCAGAAATCAGTTTGAGAGGCAAGCTAAGAACTATAGCAGTTATTTAAAAAGGCCATACTTTCAGGCCAGAATTTTGCCACAAACTTTTGCTAGCAGAGTGGCATCTGACTTGTGACTGGGATTCCTTTGCAGGAAAGGCGCAGGGTTATAGATTGCTACAGCTGGAAATGGCTAATTTTATTTGGGATAGGCCTGGAGTAAACTCTATCAGCAAAAACAGTGCTATAGATAATAACCATATATACTGGCATTCTATATTAATATAAATTACAAAAACAGTGAAGGCAACCTTGGCACTGCTCTTTCCTCATGTGTCACAGAATCACATCTCAGATATGATAAGGTGATAAATTATACTAGCCATCATCTTTAATACTGGAGTTCCTCAATTACAAAAATTTCTTACCTTCAGTGAGGTAAATTCGTGCAAATCCTATTTACTTCTGTAACTGTCATTTGTGTTAGGATTTAACTTGTTTTGTAAAAATTTGGCTATTGCAGACCTCAGCTAAACCTACAATTTTTGAAAGGAAAAAACCAGATGCTCTGACTGGCAAGGGAGAAAAACAGATACTGAGGTAAATTTGCTTTATATTCCTGTTTTCTGGTTAATTAATTTTTGCTAAGCACTGTTTTGAACAGTGCAACTTTCTGTTCATGATAAATATCACAGCATAAGCCCACAGACAAAGTATTACTCAACATAATTTTTGATATTGCTTTTCATCAGTTTTATTTAATGCAAATGTTGAAAATACATATGTTTAAATCATTGTTTAGCAGACTTCTGTTTAGTTATATGGATTAGAAATACAAATTTGAAAAAAGTCCCCCTGCTCTGAGATACATAGAAGTAAAATTAATTTCTGATTGTAATACTTGTGGATAAGCTTGAAATTTGATGAGATTTATTTTTTAACTAAATTGAATATGTTAAGAACATAAAGTGTGAAGAATATAGGGAGCATATATGAAAAGTTTGTTGGACCCAGTCACCTGCCTCCGGTGGCCATAAACAGATGCTTACAAAAGTGTAGAAGCAAGCAGATATAATACTTAATTTTGAAACTCTCCCAAATAATTTATATTTGGAAACTTTCTAAGATAGTATGGTTTCTATGTATTTAGTGTCTCACAGTTAATACTCTTCCACAAAGACACTTAACCAAAATTATTAATATAAGCATACACAATATATATTGGAATCATCTGAAAATATAATGAGTGAATTATAAACATGAAATTGTGTAGACCTATTTGCTTACCAGGCTTTTCCTTTCATTCTGTTCTAAGCACAGAATCACAGGATTTCATAAACTGGAATGGTGAATCTTCATGTTCCAGGAGAGTATATTAGTAGAATATGAAATAATGCAGTACAATATTAATTCAGTTCTATAACTGAAGTTTATCAATACATAAAAAGCACTGTGTGGGTTTGAAGTGCCCCATATGCCACTGTATCACTTTTGACCCCAGTGATATTTAACATGGTTCCTATGGAGAAGGTCAGAAAGCTAGAACCAGGAGGATTAACTGCCCCTGCAGTGAGATTAAATATCATCTGCCAGATACAGCGGTTTGCTGAGGGTTACCACTGATCTGTGATTATGGTGGGGTTTTTTACAATCTATTTTGGTAGACCATTACTTACCCTGCAATTATATGACAGTGTGTTTCTGTAATTTTCTATATATCAAACAAAAGAAAATAAAGTGTCCTGTAACTGCTGGTCTCAGAAGATGTGTGGTATAACAAAATATCCCATCTCAATCCATTTTCCCTAAGAGGACTTTTTTTTTTTTTACTTTTCAATGTTCTTTAAACACATGAAGATAATTTTCCATCTTTTAAATTGTCCTTAGTATATAAGAACCTAGTTTTCAGATTATTACTTTTATAGTTAGTGACTTAGAACTTTCAGGACAAACTTTGATCTTTGCTGGCAACATGGATCTAAGAGTGGGGATTTGGCATAATTTGTATTTTACGAAAATACTAGAATATAAGTATGCACCTCATGAACATCACAAGGTAAATACAGCCATTGTTATATTATTCCTTTTAAATTATGTTTTGATTTATAGCCTGGGGGTTGTTTGTTCAAGCTGACATTAATGAGAAATAATTTCATTAAAATAAGAGAAGACATGCATGTTCTTGAGAGTAATTTGAAAATTTTCTGTCTAGAGTTCTTATCTCACCTTTGTTGCCCTTTTACAAAATAACTGCATTGGAATTCAAACCATACTGAGAAACTGCTTAATGCTTGCTTTAATTATAGGAACATGTACAGAAAGCCCTACTTGTGTATTAAACGAACACTAAAAACATTTTTGGGTAGTAGTTGTGAACACTAATGTGAATTCTTTGGGTTTTTTTTTTGGTTTTTTTTTCCTGAGGTTGGGATTAAATGTGTGAGATGGTATAGAGATCAGTGCCTGTCAGCACAGAGAGTCTAAAATTCTCAGTAACCAGAGTTCCAGCAACTAATTGTTGATGCATTCAGTTTCCTGGCCATCCAAAACAGAAGCAAGTTCAGCAGAGGTCCTTTTTGTGGTTATTACAGGACAAGAAGATAGGCTAGCTGACAGGTGGGAAGAACATGGATGTCTTGACGGCTCATATCTCTGATGCAATTTGAGCAGTCAATTCATTGTCATTCTGACCCCTGCTGTTACACTGAGACTTATGGTGGGACTTATTAGCTCAGTTTCAACACTGCACTGCTGCAGTTACCTAGCTTCTAAGTCTGTAAGTCTAGCTTGTTTTGAGGGGAAGAGGTTTTGTTGCCTGCAGAATTCCACACAGGCATTTTCTGCTTTGTTCAGCTGTACAGTGATCTACAGTTTAACCAACTGATTTTAAGTAATCAACTGATTTGAATTTTAATAATTGATTATCAAATACACTGGGGCCTTGGATTGTGATCTTCCAGCTCTGAGTAGAAGTACCTCCATATCTGTATGGGGACAGTTCTCCCTCCAAGACCAAGACTGCTTGTAAGAGCTGGAACAAATGTGTCAATCCCAAAAAGACTAGTGAGCCCTAGGTTTGACTTTGTTGCCTCTTTCCCCACAAATTTGAAACTTGCACAGATACCATTATCGTAGTTTCTATCACATATCTGGGTATCATGACAAATATAACAGTGTGATGTTGTGATATATTTTCCAAAGGCATCCTATATAATTCCTTTGCTTGAGAAAGACACTGAAGCTCTATATATTGTTGTAGAGTATGTAAAGTGCTGTCTTTCCTCTGCAGTAATGAACAGGAAGAGAAACAAAGGGACATTGCATAGGAGCAGAGAGGCAGGATTCTTGGTCAGGAGAATGATCCTTCCAGCTTGCAAAAGTGCCATTCTTTTCCTGGAGATTTCTTTACATTCCCACAGATTTCTTAGAAGATCAACATGAAGCTCTAGCTGGTTTCATGTAGATGGTGTATGTATCCATGATGAGTACCACTTCAAAAGTCTGCTGGCAGCATCTTCTGCAGGAATTTCTGGTGATCATGGGTTCAAGAGCCTGGCTTTCCAGAGTGGAATACCTGCAGAGAGCTGCAACTACATCTACATGAAGTGTTTTCCCCTTTTCTGGTGGGAATTCTTTAACTGATGAAAATGTCTTTGTAGCTAGTTATCACTCTCCTAGTGCCAATATTTAGTATTCTGTTCATGTTCTCCAAATGACATCACTTAGGTAACAGGAATCATGAGGTGAAGATTGAGTTTGCAGAATAATTAGATGCTCAGCTAACCTGCGAACCTAGAAATGTACTTGTTTTTTTCTTTTCTTGGGTTTATTAATTCACAGTAGTAATCAGATATGCAAATATAGAAAGCATGCACATTTTCAGCAGTTAAAACTTACAGGCAATGTGACATTTGCTGACTAACGTCACCCATTTTATTTCAGAGGAAGACATATTGTTCCAGGAAACCCGAAGATGGTTAATCCTCAAAAACGATCAATTAAAAAGACTGTAGGAGTGAACCACCTTCCACAGCTAAAGCACTGATTTAATAATAATGCCAAGAACTTCCAGTCACTTTTTAAAAAATTTAATTTGACTGAAAGTTTCTAAATTGAAAATGAAAGTATTTGTGTCTTATTGCAATGCCAGATCCAGATTGGAATGTCTTCTTGGCTGCCTTAGTGTAAGTGTTCCTCTGTCTAATGGAATTGCTCTTCTAGTTGCCATCTTTGTACTGGTGACTTCTGACCCTTTCCATTCTACTTCACATCGGTGATTTTGAGTGTGAGGGTGTTGGAAAACTTGGAGAATAATGTCTTATACACTGTGTAGATCCTTGAATTATGGAAAATAAACAAGCCTCTAGCATTTTTGACCACTCAATCCAAGAAGAAGAAGGCAGACTGATGTAACCTGAAGTATTGTCTAAATATAACCTTTTTTAAAAGCTGGCTTGCCACAGCTCCCATGTTGACTACCACTTTCTGTCTGCATGGTTTAGAAGCACAGCACCGTTTCCAGCTGCTTTAGGCAGTGCTAATGGATAGAAATGACAAAAAAACTGAGCACTTCTTATTAAGGAATCTTCAGAGCCTATCTTGTGGAATGTTGTTTCTTTTAAACACTATATATATTCTATAAAGAAACACATATCCTGGTATTAGTATGTTGCTCTTTGAAATTTGAATTCTCTGATGAACCCTTGTATCCACAGTCGTGAGGTTATAAAAATCTCTGTCTTCTTCAGTGGCATTGATCCTTGTACTTTTAGGGTCCAAAGTAGTGCCAGTCCTAAAAGTCATCTCTTCAGTGAAAGTAGAACTACTTTGTCTCTCCATTCTTAAGCATGCAATTAATGTTGCAGTTTTATTACCTACATTTTAGTCATTAAATTTGGCAAAATTTTTTCAAGTGGCAACAGGAAAAATGTTTTCATAATGAAGCTTCAGTCCTCTGGGTTACATCTTAAAAGCTCTTGGCAGAGCAAATGTGGCTGCTGACTGCCCTTTATTATTTTAAGAGCATTTCTAACTCTGCAATAAAGTTTTTTCCCCTCTTTAAGAGCAGTACTAATAGTTCCTTATTACTGGCAGCATTAAAGTGACACTGTAATTAAGCTTACAGCAAAAGACAAACCAATGGTGTCATTCTAAAATGCAGAGAGCAAAGGCTTCCAGCATGGTACAGCATATTCAGTACGGAAATCCCTTTTTTTTTTTCTCTTACATAGTATTAAATTCATTACAGATATTTTTCATGTTACCATGATGTACATGGTATCATTCTTTCATAATTATGCAGGGTGATCTGCCTGGCTGGTTTTTTTCCTCACAGCATAGCACAGCTGGTTAGGTTAGCACTCTTCTGTTTGTGTTTTTCACATCAAAAATTTCCAAATGTTCATTGTGCTGGCATTTGTGGTGAAGGAGAGGGGAAAAATCACCATAATGGCTCTATTGGCATAAAAGACAAGGGACATCTGCAGTAGTATAGAAGATCCAGTTCTTGGATTCATGCAGCAAACATTTCCTACTGCTGTCTCTTAATCAAATGTTAGTACACTCAAGTCTGGTCTGTGTAGCACTTCAGAATAACTGGAAAATATGTACAAATATGACAGAACATTTTTTCATAACAGGATACTTGATGCTTCCCTTAAGGATATTCCTCACTGAGGACTTGAAACGAAACTTTTTTTGAAGCCTTAAAAGAGGTATTTATTGGTACAGGAATGACCTGGGAGACAAGCAGACTATGTCCTATTTAGTCCCTGTTTCACCTTGCCAAAAGCAATTTGATTTGATTTGGGACTCAAAATGCAGTAGTATGACAATTAATTGCTAAAATGTGCTGTTTGACCATTCTAATTGTATGTCCAGCTGTAATCTTTGTTATGAAAAATGGTTATAGTTCAGTACTTATACTCTTTTAATTGGCATTTCATTTTCTTCCTGGTTTTCTGAAAATAAGGACGAACCTGATAGCTAAATTCGACAACGCCAATTTCTTTGCAACAGGAAAAAGAGAGTTTTTGGTTTCAAAAGTGGAGGTCTCTTTGGATCTAAATAAATTTTTTACGCTTCTAGCTTTCCCAAAAAATGTAGGAATTTTTTGTTTCATTTGGTGAGGTTAGGTGAATGAGTGTTTTGAAATTCCTGGATTTATCTTGTGTGGGCTTTTCTTACTGTTTTGTTGTCCTGTGAAATGTGGGGGTTTTTTTGACATTTGCAGCAATGAACAGTTAGATGGCTTTATGTAATATCTTCAATATGAATATTTCAACACATTTAGGATTAATTAATCCTTCAAATACTTCACAGTATGCAGTATTATTTTAGGTCTAGAAGACAGAATCAGGTTTATTTAAAGCAGATATGGGAGTGTAGTGATGTCTGGTTTTCCCCTGATTTCACAATAGGATGATCTTTTGTAACGCTGCCAACCATTTCAAGATAAAGTCGGCCTCCTCTTAAGTTTCTGTACATCATACATGACAGAAGGAATCTGAAACCAAAAATGGGAAACTGAATTGCTGACAGTTGTGGGCAGTGATTGAATGGAGCTAAATATCAGAGGAAGACAGGATCAGCGGTGAAGGTTTGAGTCTGGCCAAACTTCTTCCTTCAGTGTAGAATATACTTGAGATTCTAGATATACTGATTGGAATGTGTAAGTGGCTTTAATTGATGGACTGGGAAATTTGATATCCTAACTTGGCGCTTGAGAGTGTGCTGTCTCTACATGGTTACTCATGTAGTTCCATTAATTTCAGATGAGTCATGATTTTGAGGTAACTAAGGCATTTTAAGTATTTACCCGTAGTGTTTCTGGAAAATATAAATTTGAAATCTCAAATGCTGGTAAGCATACTTGTCTTATTTAAAAAAAAAAACCTTTCTTTTTTGTTGTTTTAGAGTCTGTTTTAGATTAATGATGGTATTGAGTCATGATAGTTGTTTTTAATATCCATTTAGCAGCAGTGTACTCTTCTATGATGGAATAAAATGAAAATGTTTATTGGGCAGGCATTGACTGTGTTGCTGGTTATTATGTAATTATGCAGCATAACCACAGGCTGCTGAGAACTGGGGTGATAGGCTTCCTCATGTTCAGGATATCATTAATAATAAGCAAGATATTTTGTTGCTTAAATACTTTGTTTAATGGGTTCTCTGTATTTAAACTGACTAGGTGGTACAGATGACAGTTTCCCTGATTCCTATGATATTCTATCTCTACTGGTAAAGATGAAGTGTATAATTCAGCCTTAATACATTTCCAGTAGAGGAGGATGCTGTGCAGGCCTTTTTACAAATGTGATGCAGACACAGTAGCAAGCAAATAAATAAATAAGGAAAAGAACTTCTGTGTTTTTAAGCTTCTGCTGTTTTTGCCAGACTGGTCTCAAACATGACATGTACTTTGAACTAACTCAAGTTGGAAGCAGATATAATGTGCATGGACTAAAATTATAGCTAATTGCTACAGTTTTATCATTTTACACACAGGTGTCACACTAATGGCAAACGGGTCTTGACTGGATAATGAGGCTTTTCAAAGGTGGCAGTACCTTATTTACTTGGCAGATGAGTTTAACCCTCTATTCCAGAAATACAAACATTGGATTTAGTTCCTTATAGGTTACATCTTAGAATCCAGTTTTCCTGCACTTCACTAATCTGTGCCCTAAACTGCCAGCTAAGAGCCATGTAGAGATCAAATGGGTCTCTCATGTCTACAGGAGTAGCATGCAGGTGGGGCCAGGCTTTGCCTGTGGTTCTGGGAGCAACTCAATGCACCACCCCACAGAAGGGGCTCTCACAGGCTCCATTTCTAGGCTGCTAAAGTTCCTATGTTCTGGTTCCTGTGTAACTTCTCACCCCTCCCTTTGTTGCCTGGGAGAAGATGAATTCTGCTTCAGGATCCCATCTGTAATTTGGGGAGAACAGTATGTTTCTGGTGCTGAGAAGTGACACAAAGATACATACACTGGTGCTGGAGGGAAGCCAGCTGGTAAAACCACAATGAATCGGAGTTAGTCTGACCTAAAACAAATAGATTTTCTTCTGTCTTGCAATGAAGATAGATAATATTGGTGCTCTGTTGGTGCAGAAACAGCTGTGGCTGCTACATCTTACTGAAGAGATTTACCAGTAAAGACTGGTGTCAGGGTATTTCCTGACGAACACAACCTAATGTGACACAGCAGTGACACCAGTTGCTGTGCATGTCTTGTCACAGGGAAAAATGTTAGCTCTGTAAAGAGAAGGACCCTATGTGAGATCCAGGACAGGCCTGACTCCCACACCACCCTACAACAGGCACTTCCCCCTGCATCTGTCTGATCCCTCCACACAATGAGCAAGTGTCCCGTGTGGAATCTGCTCAGGAATGGTGTGGTGTAACAGAGCAATGCAGACTGGGGACCAGAAATATTGGGCACAGCTGAAGGGTTATTTTGGGGGAAGGATGAAACAACAAAGCTGTGCACTCTTGACTCATCCTATGCTGATTAGGAATAGGATACTGAGAAAGCTTTTAAAAAGATGAAAAGAAGGAAAACTAGCATGGGAATCATCTGTCCCAGTTTGCAGCTTAAAAGTCATATCTCTAAGTCTGAGCTAATCACTGTATACTCAATGAGTACTCAATGGGAAAAAAAAAAAAAAAAGCAACCTAAAACAGACACCTTCAGGGTTCACCTCCTCTCATTCTAACAGAGATGCTTAAAATGGATCAGGTGACACATCAACAGGTTTTCTTTCCCCTGACTGGAAAGAGAATTCAGAATAAACTGTCCAGCATGTAGAAAGGTAAGCTGAACCCTGTTCTTGTAAATTTTTTTATTTTTCTTGCTCTGGCTAGGGACGGTGACACCCCAGATCAGTAGAGGATCTCAGCCAAGAAGTAATACTGAGCTGCAATTTGACTCTCCTTTGGACTGATCTTTTTGTCTCACAGCAGCCCAGCATTCAACAGAAGACCTGTTCTTTAGGCATTGAATTTACAAGGCCTACAGATCTATTCTCATGTTGCATCGGTAC